CTAGGCATTTGATTGCTTTTATTTTTTGCATGTACATAAATTGATGATCGGCCCCATAACAACATGTAATATTTTTGGCTGTTGCTTTGCAGGAGCCTCTAGAATATACAACGGTTTTTTTTGGACCGCGGACTATGGAAGATAAGAACAGTATTTTTTCCGTTCTAAAAATCTCGATGGCTTCTGCAAAGCGCAGGCTGAAAGACCTTCGTATGTCATGGTAAATAGAAACCTCAATTTGTTCGAATATTCAGCGATGCCAAAGAATCACAAGCTCCATTTCCAGCATTATTTTAGTCATCTTAAGACTAAACTCACCTAAATTTTCGTAATATCCCCTGACCTTTGGCCCAAACCCATATTATTCCCATCACCCATATCTTCCAAATTTCCCATCGATTCGAATAAAAAACAATTTCATATTTAAAATTCGAATATTCCCAGGCAAACCCCTTTCAAATCCCCCAAAAACGCCTCTCTCGATTCGAATCAATGATATTTCCCGCGAGTAAAGAGCATCTGGATATGGTTTTTGAATAGATTCCCTCCTTTCCTTAGGGTCCAATTCTTCTCGGTGGAGAAACATGAGTTTGAACGGCCGTTCTTCTACGAGTTAGACCTCCTTTTCGCCTGCGCTTTCGGCCGCCAAGAGGCTTTGTTTTGCGCGCCGCCGTTATTTTCGCCGATTTCTTGGAGGAAATCGAATTTCTCGCCGGTTATTCGCACTTTTTGGACCTTTTTTGGACATGTTTAATATAGATTACATAATAAATTATTAGAGTATTCAATTTTCTTGATATTTTACATTGCTGTAAATTAATTTTCCTCCGTTTTCTTCCCGAAATTCGCGCTCATTTCTTTGTGTTTATCTTTTATTTGCCATTTAACCCCGAGGGCATACTTCATGTTCCCTTTTTGAGGACAAGCACGAGGTCAAGGCCTCTCTATCTTCTCCTTGCGGCCAAATTCTTGTCTTTTAAATTCATTTGGCTCAAGGCAATTGTGGGTAATGGACACTGCGGGAGGGTGATGACATTGGCAGGGAAGTTTTTTTTTGTAGAGAAATGGAGGTGTTAATATGGCAAGATGGGACCTAAGTTTACAAGAAAGACATTCTGCCAAAAATAAATCTTTACTTTGTCATCTTGTTGTTGTATGTAAATACGATGGCTATATAATAACATAATATTATATGTAAGCCTCACTTCCCGTATTTTACCTTCAAGACAATCTTCTCATCCACTCCTTTAAATTTCCAATTCCCCCAGCCGCCCATGCCCTTGTAAACTAGCACGCAAAACAAATATACAACATTTCGTGTGGCCGAAGATGGGACGCGACTGGAAATTCTAAACCGTTCGATATATAGAAAATGGGCATCTCGGAGAATTGTGTCCTTTAATTTGGGTCATTTAAGGGCGCGCGCTATAAGCGTGGGATCCAATTTGTAATTTCTTGAGAGCGGGCCTCGGTGGGAGATGGGAATTGAGAATTTGTTGATGCTACTGGAAGTGGGAAAAAATTGGGATGAGATGTTTAAAATAAGGGGATTCTCTAGGATATATTTTAACCATAATATCACAAGGGGCACATAAAAAGAAAAATCAGCAATTTTCTGCAAATTTGTATTTCTTGAAAATCTTAGCAAGATTATGCATAAATGAGAAATTCATCGACTTTTTTTGCAGGAGAGTACAGGAAATTTCGAGAGTCGGGCAGAAAAAAATACATTTTTTGCCACGACTTCCTGTCTGGAAATATTTTTTATGATGAATTTTCCGAATTGGTTACATTTATTCATTTTAAAAAACATGCCTCAATATGGCCATAAGACATCATTTTACAATTGTTAGACGTTTTTAATAGCCTATTAGTCTTGGCGGCTCATTATTCGCTAAAAGTTGTCCAAATTTAAATTCAGAGTGATGCGTAACAAACTAAAGTCCGCTTCCATTCTCTATGATGACTTTTCGCAATTTTCAGTATGACTTTCCCTCAAAAATATCCTCAATATTTTATGTTTACCATAAAAATTTCCAATTTTTTCCTCCTTCTCTAATTTTTTATTAGTGCCATTACTTGCACAAAAACCCGCTAAGACCTAAAAAAATTATTTTAGGATTAACAAAAATTGGTTTTCTTTTCTCACCCTCATTAGTCCCCCTTTCTTCCGTTTCAGTTTTGGTTGGGAAAAAGTAGTAGTGTAATGCACTATGAATACATGAATAATATTTGAGGGGCTCTAATGAAGTTGAGGGAGGGGAAGGTTGGCAGAAAATAGAGAGGGGAGGTCTTCAAGATGGAGTTTTGATTGGGGGATGTATGAAAAATGCCTTCTGAAAACCGGCCTTCCGCTGAGTTTGGCAAAAACTTAATGATAGCATCTCTATGCTTGCAAAAATGAATTTTTGCTGCTAGGTTTTTATAGAGGATTTTTTTCTCAAGATTTCGAGTATATCTCTTCTACACTGATTTTTGATGACTTTTCCCTCCTATTTTATTTCTTATCAACTCTTTTTTACATTACACATGACATTTCCTCTGGCTATTGCCTTGTAATCTCCTCTATCACCCCAATTTTACCTCGGGTACCCCCAAAACATCTTCAAAATATCCTGTCTTACTCAATCGTCCATAATATCCTCAGCACACTTCGTCCAAGGTCATTTCTCTCATCATTTTATATTATCCCTGCCCAACTCTCAGCTCCTTAAGAATAATATGGGATCGTCGAAAATCCCGCGCAAACCGCATTGTTTGAATACGCGTTTATTTGTTTACGGACCTGTTTAATTTATTCAAAATTCAATCTCGGAAACTTTTTTGTTTTGATATTTGCATAAGTTTCATTGTAATGCAAATATAGAGTATATTATTTTTTACTCAGCGGGGGATTTTTTGTTTCACAAATTCATTGCCTTGGAAGAAAATTCAAGGCAGATTAGAGCAACGAAAGTTCTGACCTTTCAGAGGATCGAAAATGGAGACGGGGAGGTTCCGATTATGCAAATTTTTGTTTACTCTCCGATCTTTGAGATATTCGGTATAAAACATGATTATTTCGGCATAGCAGTGTTTTTGGGTCTATAATTGGTCATGCTTTATCGAAAAAAGGCTCAAGGACTTCTAAGGCACACATTTCCAGTAATTTTTTTGATTTTTTGGCTTTCAGGGCAAAACTAAAGCTCTTAGCGCGGTTAGATAATTATTAAGCTTATCGTTAGCATTTATGGAATTTTTTAAAAGATATTTTTACCATTTACATAGAAAAATTCAAATTCAAAAATATTACTTTAGCCCTAAACAAGTCATCTTTCAACCTTCCCATTTTACCCCTCTAAATTTTAATCCCCATTGTCTCAGCGGAGTTCCAACTCCATCCCACACCTCGTCATTTGAATAAAAAGGAACTCGAAAATAAGCAAAGTACAGGAAGACGCGCCGATTTTCTTCCCCATCGGAAAGCGCGCGTGGGTTCGCTTTAAACGAAGGGGGGCCCCGAACCGCGGACCGAATGGGTTTTGTGCCAAGGAAATTATGTTGGAAATTCGATCCGACTTAAACTGTTTATTCAAAAATAACTTTTATTGTCCTTAATGGCTAATCTTGTTAGAGCCGAATTTGAGTGCCTGATGGGCGGGGGGAGGGGTAGGCGCGCGTATTTTTATTCGAAAAAAGTGAGGTTTAGGAAGAGGGAGATTTTAGAATGGGTTTCGTAAGGCGTGGCGGGTTTATTTTGGGACCTTTGGTGGCTTGAAGGAATTTTGATGACTAAAACGAAATAAGTTCAATATAACAGGTATTTTTTCCTCCATATGCGTAATTACGCGTTGAAGTATCAGTTATAGAACGTATAAGCTTCATTCAAAAGATTTATCTCTTATCTAGCTTGATTTACCCATTTTCGCCCATTTATATTATCCATGGCACTGATACTTCCAAGGCTGATTCTGCAAAAATTGCTTTTCGAATTCAGTAGATCTTTTAAGGAATGAAAGAAAAGGACGTATTTTACCATGATCAAACAAAATCCAGGTAATTTCCACTGGAAACATACGATTTTTCATCTATCAAATTATATTATCCATGACAAAAAATTTTTTGCATTTTCTAATTTTTTTTGTATCCCACCTACTCCTAATCGTTACTGGCACTTTTTACAAGCTATATTCTTGCCCCAGACATTGTTTACCTAGGCCAATTTACCCGCTTTCCCCTAAATCTCCATAAATTTTAAATCTTTTGGAGGTCTAAAGCTCGTCCGAAAAAAATCTTTTGTTCGGGCACCCAACAAAGAGAATCAAAGTTCCATTTCGAAGACAACTTGCTGCCCAGGGAGTACATTGGAACGGCGGATTTATTGGTCGCGCAATCACAATAAATTATCCAGAAAATTGGGCGAAAAAAGTTTTTTCCGAAAGTTTTAGCGAATTTTTTACTCTGTTTTGAAGATTTTAGGTGTGTTTGAGGGAGAATTCGCTTGAATTAGTTGTATTTTATTCGTATTTTACAATTTTTTACATGATATTTGTCCTGTTTTTCTTCGGGTTTTTTAATTCGAAAATTTTTTCGAGATTTTAGGTAATAATTTGTCAAACTTCCGCGATTTTCTTCAATTTTCAGATTTTTTCAAGTGTAATATTGAACTGTATGATCTTTCAGGTATTATTCTACAATATTCATTGAGATTTCTCCCCGGAAAACTTTGATTTTCCTAGGAAAATCGACTTTCCATCACGGGTATCTCGATTTTCGCTCATTTCCCTACGATTTCCCTCAACCCAAGGATCTGATCCACCTCAAACCTCATCTACAATACATTACGGACCTCTAGAAAGTGATTTCCCGCCATTATCACCTCAACTTCAACCCTAAATTGATCCAAAATTCCGTCGAAAAGGACGGAGGATGGGCGTCGACGACGCCCAATCGTCGACGTCGAAACCCCAACAACTTCCAGTCACTGTGCCACAGAACCAAGTCCAGACGTCCACGAAGACATGGAGAACGAGATGGGAGGGCAAGGACGAAGACTGTCGGTGGATGTGCGTGATGGCGTTGAATATGATATGAACCATGGGATCAGATGGAAGTGGAGGCCAAAGGTCGTTGTGATGGGGATTGTGCAGATGCTGATGGTTGTAAATATGATAGGTTATGCTGAAGGTGGGTCTATTTTACAATTTTGCTATTTATTGACTTCAAAAATAATCATTATTAGCCATTTTCTGAAATTTTTGAAAAAATTCTTTTACTTTTTTCTTTGTTCATTCTTGGCCTAAAACGTAGTGTAAAATGGATAAAGAAAAAAGTTGGTGGGTAAAATTTTTGTTTGGCCATAATTCACTTAGTTCTTCCAAAATGAGAAAACAACCAACCACTGGGACATGTTTCTCGACTCTCGACGCCTTTTGTATTGTCATAATTACCTTTACGGAAGTGCGGTTTTTATAATAGCGGGTTATTCTTGTAAATATGTGTCTAATTTGTGGGATTTGCGCACCTGGCCGAGAGTAATGGCCGATTTTCGACGGGTTCCCACGGTCTTTGAGGTCAGGGTGCCAGAATTTGAGGTTGAAACAGAATGCCAAATTTTAAAATTTTCGCCACAAAGCCTAAAGTAATATCCAGAATCTTGTAAAACCGAAAACCCTTAGGGTTTGTAAAATTAATTTATGAGTGTGCAGCGCTTTTTTCGAAAAGAATGGGGACAGAAACATTATTGCGCAATATTTTTGGGCCTTGCGTGCACAAGTTAGATAAAGCGCCGGAAGACAAATGTCCATTTTTTGAAGAGACCGGGAATCGTTTTAATCCCATTGCGTCTCCCGAAAAAGGACATAATGAAATTCGTGTCTTTTATGGGCCCAAATTAATGGGATTATGACACGAGAAATTTTTGGGGGAAAATTGGCAAATAGCCCTCAGGGGATAGAAAAATAAAGTGGAAAATATCAAAAATCAAACAGACAATGATTTTGAGTATCTAGGAAAAATATGGGATCATAAAAATGTTTACCACAACGAAACCCTGATCTTTTGGCATTCTGTTTCAAGCACTGAAAATGGCAGGGGAAGATGGAAAATGTCAGATAACATGCATGAAAATATATGAACCCGCCAGAATTTCCAATAATTTACCTTGTTTTAGCCAGTGCCCGCGCCCACAACAACAAACAATTTATCAGCCAGCTGGATGAAGGCCAATTCGAGATTGTTCATCCATTCCAAATGCGCGAGAACAAAGAACGAATCGGAATTGATACTCACAATTATTTATTGAATGCCAGCGCTCACTTCAAACATATTACAATCGTCATCAGATCAACTGTTGTTTTTGGTGGAAAGCAGCGGCTAAAATTGAGTTTGCAGCTGGATGATCATCTCTTCTACAATCAAACACAGTTTAGAAAGGTATGATGGACTGATGTTCTTGTCCTTTTTGACTTTTTTGGTTAATTTGGAAAATGTAGGGCGCAGCTCGCCGAATTGAAAATGTCATTTTTTGAGTGCGGGATGTTGATTTTTGAATAGCACTTGTCCTAAAAGTCTTTTTAGACTATTTTTTATCATTTTTCAGCTCACCGAAGATGGCGATGAATTTATGACGTACCGAGTGGAAAACTGTTACTATCAAGGGACAGTAAACGGCGATTCGAACACTTTTGTGTCCATCTCGACATGCAATGGACTACGGTAAGTATTTTATAAACTCTGTTTTTTCTTTGAATTTAGACGCTTATTTCTATGATGTAAATTTTTTTCAGTGGAATCATCGCTTATGACAACGGAACAGCCCTTGGAATTTGGCCTCTGGATGGGGGAGATCGAACACGCAGGCATCCCCACGTCCTCTACAAAACAAAATGGACTCGTGACGCGTCTTGTGGAGCAACCACAACTCCCATTCAGAGCCTTGGAGGTCAAGCGAGACGATTTGTAAAACGCGATATAACAAGGCAGACGAAGCATATAGAATTGGCCATAATCGGTGATTATCGATTTGTGAGAGAGTTGAACTTGACTGAGGATGAAGCTCTAGAGTTTATGCTCGAAGCCGTCAACATGGCCGATGAGGTGGGTTACTGTAACTTAAAAATTTTGAGCAATTTTATATTGTTTTAGCTAAAAATCATGGTTTTAATCACATTTATTAAATTTTGTAGATTTTAACCCGCGATCTGAATATCCGCTTGTCCGTTGTGTACAGCGAAGTGTGGTTGGACGCTCAGCGAATTGACCTCCACGCGGATATTGCCAGAACCTTGTCCGGAGCCTTGGATTACGTGAATGGACACCTTTATCCCATCGAAAAGGACCTCAGTATTGTTTTTACGGGCGGATTTTTTGCCAACAATGAAATGCTTACGGGCTCTTTCGGTTCAATTTGCACTGCCAGGGCTGTGGGAGTCGTGAAGGTAAGGGTTTTTGAAATTTTTGTCGATTTTTTTTTGAGATTTTTTTAAAAATTTTATCGAAAATTTTAATTTTTACAAGGAAAGTACTTCTATGGGGTGTGGAATTACCGGTCGAGATATATATCAAAAAATTCGCAAAAATTTTCTGATTCAGAATATATATAAATTAGCTGCCTAATTTTGGTCTGATGACATGTTTTTGTCCTCAGAAGTTTTCTCGCGACACCATGGAAGTGTCTTTTTGACCGTGTTTTTACCAATAAAAAAATTTTGTTTTGTGCTAAAATAAATTTTGAGGCCTTGACAAGCCTTAAAATATCAAATTGGATTACAACTACACCTTAAAAGTAGTTCCAATGTAAAAAATGGGTTCTAGTGTGGCAAAAGGAATCGAACCCGTCCCCTTCGGATTCCGAATCTAGCGCTCTAACCACTCGGCCACATCGCTCTCTTCCGAAGGAAGAGACCGAGCTCGGTTTTGTTGCCGCAGATTTTTTCCCTCGAGAAATACATTTATTGATAAAACTCGTTAATAGACCAAAATTAGGCAGCCAACTTTTATATATTCTGAATCAGAAAATTTTTGCGAATTTTTTGATATATATCTTGACCGGTAATTCCACACCCCATAGAAGTACTTTCCTTGTTAAAAGAGAGTTTTTTACAAACTGAAGCTTCCCTCCACGGGGCCCGGACATTGTTGCAACGACCATCACCAAATTTCTTGAAACTTGGCCAATAGAAGGGCCTGAGCATGTTGATGAAAAGCGAAGAAGGGTTTCGCGAAATTTCAACCAGTCCGGGATTACTGTAACATTTTGTGTTTTATAAAGCTGCCGTTGTGGTGGGCCGGGTGATGGCTCTATGAGTACAAAACTTTCTGTGTGGCGGTTTTCGACCATGGCCAACATTTTCCTTACTAAAACATTTTTTGTATCTCTTCATCTTATGGTAGTACTGTAACCTTCAACATACCATATCGATTACCGTTAAAAATTGGAAGGAGTGTAACCAGTTTTTAAGCTTGATTATAAAGGTTGGACACACTCTCCGTAAAATAAGACAAAAAAATCCAAAATAAAAATATAAGTTTTTGAGATATGCGCGTTCAAAGTTGCTATGTTCGGGTACTGTAGGACCAAAATGGAGATGATGAATTCTCAAACGGTACCATTCGTTGCCACGCCTCACCCATTAATAGAGCAGCCTGAGAAAAATATTTTCTGATCAAAAAATAAATATTTGAGGCTTTATTTCAGGCTTTATACGATGGTTACTGTAGTTTCTAACTTTTGTTAATTTCGCTAACCATTTTTTCCAGATAACGTATTTAGACTAGCTATCCCATTGAGAAATGTGTATACAACGTAAAAATAAAAAAATCAAGGTCGCAGTACCATCAATTCCTGAAATAAAGGGAGATTACGGTAGCCGTATCCGTTTTTTTCGCTGTTTAGCCGCGGCATTCTTTGGAGCTGCAAGTGTAACCAGATTTGAGACTGGAAATTCACTCAGAATGGATAGATGAGTATTTGAGCAAAAAATAGCGAAAATAAAAATATAAGTTTTTGAGAAAATCCCGGATTACGGTCATTTTAGGGGGTTTTTGGGCCGTTTGGCCGCGGCATTCTTTGGAGCTGCTAGTGTAACCAGATTTGAGACTGGAAATTCACTCAGAATGGATAGTTGAGTATTTGAGCAAAAAATAGCGAAAATAAAAACATAAGTTTTTGAGAAAATCCGAAATTACGGTCATTTTAGGGGATTTCCTGGCCGAAATTACCGTAATCCGGGATTTTCTCAAAAACTTATATTTTTATTTTCGCTATTTTTTTCTAAAATACTCCCCTGTATATTCTGAACAAATTTCCAGTCTCAAATCTGGTTACACTTGCAGCTCCAAAGAATGCCGCGGCCAAACGGCCCAAAAACCCCCTAAAATGACCGTAATCCGGGATTTTCTCAAAAACTTATATTTTTATTTTCGCTATTTTTTGCTCAAATACTCATCTATCCATTCTGAGTGAATTTCCAGTCTCAAATCTGGTTACACTAGCAGCTCCAAAGAATGCCGCGGCCAAACGGCCCAAAAACCCCCTAAAATGACCGTAATCCGGGATTTTCTCAAAAACTTATATTTTTATTTTCGCTATTTTTTGCTAAAATACTCCTCTATCCATTCTGGGTGTATTTCCATTTCCAAATCTGGTTACACTTGCAGCTCCAAAGAATGCCGCGGCCAAACGGCCCAAAAACCCCTTAAAATGACCGTAATCCCGGATTTTCTCAAAAACTTATATTTTTATTTTCGCTATTTTTTGCTCAAATACTCACCTATCCATTCTGAGTGAATTTCCAGTCTCAAATCTGGTTACACTTGCAGCTCCAAAGAATGCCGCGGCCAAACAGCGAAAAAAACGGATACGGCTACCGTAATCTCCCTTTATTTCAGGAATTGATGGTACTGCGACCTTGATTTTTTTATTTTTACGTTGTATACACATTTCTCAATGGGATAGCTAGTCTAAATACGTTATCTGGAAAAAATGGTTAGCGAAATTAACAAAAGTTAGAAACTACAGTAACCATCGTATAAAGCCTGAAATAAACCCTCAAATATTTATTTTTTGATCAGAAAATATTTTTCTCAGGCTGCTCTATTAATGGGTGAGGCGTGGCAACGAATGGTACCGTTTGAGAATTCATCATCTCCATTTTGGTCCTACAGTACCCGAACATAGCAACTTTGAACGCGCATATCTCAAAAACTTATATTTTTATTTTGGATTTTTTTGTCTTATTTTACGGAGAGTGTGTCCAACCTTTATAATCAAGCTTAAAAACTGGTTACACTCCTTCCAATTTTTAACGGTAATCGATATGGTATGTTGAAGGTTACAGTACTACCATAAGATGAAGAGATACAAAAAATGTTTCAGTAAGGAAAATGTTGGCCATGGTCGAAAACCGCCACACAGAAAGTTTTGTACTCATAGAGCCATCACCCGGCCCACCACAACGGCCGCTTTATAAAACACAAAATGTTACAGTAATCCTGGAATAATGCAAATTTCGCAAAAACCTTAGACGCTTTTCATGTATGCCCTGTGGGTGTTCTATGAGCCAAATTTGAAGAAATTCGGTGATGGTCACCGCAACAATGTCCGGGCCATGCTTCACTTTGTAAAAAAGTCCGTTTTAAAATATCTCCTGTCAAGATGCTAAATATTCTTAATTTACAGGCAATTGATGACTATTCCGTCGACAAATCAGCCCAATTCATTGCTCATGTTGTTGCCCATATACTCGGTGTAGATCATGATAGCCGAGACTGCGTATGCAATAACAATTTACCATGCATCATGAACAGTCAAGTTGGAGCGATCGAGTCGACGTTTTCATGGCAATTTTCGAAGTGCTCCATTGCGCAGATGAACAATTTGTTACAGGTGGGCATGAATATTATAATTAAAAAAAGGACTCGAAAACGACTTTTTGAGTGAAGAATGTTAGAAAAAGGGCAGAAAGTGTGTACTTGATCAATTTAGGACTAATTGGAGGCATTTTGATGCCTTGAAACAGAATGCCAAAAATCAGGGTTTCGTTTTGGAACTCGAAATTTTAATTGACTTTGCACTGCAAGACGCTTCTAGAGAAGTCTAGAGAGCTTTTAGAGAGTAATGTCTCACTTGCAGGCCTCTCCAAACATTCAATGCCTTCTGAATCGTCCCTTCCAAACATCTTCCCTTCATCAATGTGGTAATGGCCGAGTTGATGCTGGTGAGGAATGTGATTGTGGCCGAAGAGATGAATGCACTGATCCATGTTGCGATCCGATCACTTGTACCCTCAGAGCTCATGCAAAATGCGCCGCTCATCAGCCGTGTTGCGATCGGTAGGTTGAGATTTCTGAATGTTGCGAAATGTCACAAATTTTGACATTTCGCAAGATGGTCTTAATGGAGTCAAGGATACTTGTTTTATGCTGTGAAATTTTAAGACAGCCGAAAACACGCCTTTTCTAGTTTATCATGGCTTGTAAGAGCGATGTTGCGGAATGTCACAAAATTTTTGACGCTTCGCAACATCGTCTAAATTTGTCGAAAATAACCAAAAATTTCCTTCAGATGTGAGCTCCGCAGGCCAGGCCATGTTTGTCGCCAATCCCGCTCCGTCTGCGATGTCGCCGAAGTCTGCGACGGCGAGTCGGGCGATTGCCCAGTGGACGGATACTTGGTGGATGGAATCGGCTGCGGCCACAATGGCCAATGTTGGAAAGGAAATTGTTCGGATCCGGACGCCCAATGCCAAAACCTTTGGGGACGAGATGCTACAGCGGCCGAGGATTCGTGCTACGCGAATAATGAAAAGGGCGCGGAATACGGGAATTGTGGAAGAGATCGGAACAATCAATTCATTGCATGCCAACCGGAGAATCGCAAGTGTGGATTGCTGCAATGCAAGAATGGAAGAACCTCGCCTGTCTCCGCGAATCTGACGTCATTCAATTTTCAGTTTTTGAAGGATGGAAGGCAAATGCAGTGCAAGTAAGGATCGGGATTTTTTTTAAAGCTTTGTTTTGAAAGTATTATTGATTTGTGATATTTTGAAAGAGGACAATAAGCGTATTTTACCACTTATTTATTATTATTATTATTATTATTATTTATTTTTTTTTTTTTTTTTGAAAATAACTGCCAAGGCAAAACAGTTAAAATATCTAGTAAAAGCTCCAAAAATGGTAGAGAAGCTTCTTATCGAAACGTATTTTACAATTCCAGATCCATAACCAACATTGGAGTTGGCCTTGTGGACGACGGAACCGCCTGCGGCAATGGTCGAGTTTGTGTGGAAGGAACCTGCCTTCCCCTGGCACAAGTCTCACCCCCAGTCCACTGTCCAAGCAACAATTTGGCTCTGCAATGCTCGGGCCATGGAGATTGCACAACCACTCAAAACTGCATCTGTTATGATGGATGGGCGGGCTCGGCGTGTGATCAGAAATCGAATAATACGAGAAAAATCATATTCGGAGAGACGAAATACGGTAGAAGAGAGAATGAAGGCTTCAATTGGATCGTGCCAGCGATTAAAGGTGAGAGTTGGAGGCTTTTGGAGGAATATCTAAAGATGTTGCGAAGTGTCAAAAATTTGTGACATTTCGCAACTTTATCGAAAAATTGCAATTTGATGATTTTATCGTTCCAGTGACCAAGCCATGGGAAGAAACAGTGATTTTGGTTGGAATCTTGGCCGTCTTTGGCTTGTTCTTGTTCATGTTACTCATCTGCCTACTGTTTTGTTATCGGTAAGTTTTTATAAAATTTTTGAAATATTTTCACAAAATTTTTGCTTGAAGAAAAAGTAAATTCTCCATTTCAGTCGTCGCTCCAAAGACCCGTTCCATCGACCGGTCGTTTCCTCCAAAATCGACGAATCTTTCCAAGACGACGGAAATCGAGTCATCAAATTCGGCCAAACCCCCTCATGGAGCAAGGAAAAGCGCTCGAGGAAGAAACAAAAACACATCTACGGCCAACTTCATCGCATCAACGAAGCGAATGAGGAAAAGGACAACATGTCGCTGCGGTCTCGCGAGTCCCAGGCCCTTTCGAATGGCCCTCCGTTGTCTTCGAACCGATCCCTAAACGGCTCATCAATTAATGCGCTGCTGATTAATGAGCCGTTCCATCAGATCCAAAGGCATATGGAAATGGACCCAATGGAAGCTCCAATATATGCGGAGAAAATCTACGCCGACGGAATTGGATCAGCCATTGATCGGGCCACATCTTCACCATTGTTGGGCTCGGAATATGGAAGAAGACATTTTAATGATGGATTGTTGATGACTAGAGATGGATATGGATCAGGTATGCGTTGAAAAGGAATGAATATTGGGTTAGAGGGGTTTTGGGAAATTAATATTAGATTTGTAGGTCTCAGCACGAAAACTTGAGATTTCTTGGCATTGTGTTTTATGGCATCTAGGGTGTCGGGAATAAAGAGTAATGGAATTTATTGATGATTTTTTACTGTTTAGTTTTGTTTTGACAGTTTTTTGGGAGTTATGCGAGCTAATATTGCGTCTCACCACGAAAACCTGAAATTTCTTGGCATTGTGATTTTATTGTCTAAATGGATAATAGATGATGTCTAGATCGATTTTATTCAAATATGACCCAATATTTTTTAGGTCTCCGCTCCCCAGCCTCGAATTATGAACCGGATTTGCTCAATTCGGGCCCTGTTCCATTATACGCGTCCTCAAATTATAACCGACATCGGGTCCCCCCACCAGGCAGAAATGGAAGCCCCTGTGGATCGGCCTCATCACAGAATGGCTCAACATGCAGATATACGGGAGGTCTGGGAAACGGGCATTTGAAATTGTCATCAATCCAAGCCATCATGAGAAAAGTGGAGACCGAAAATAGTGGAGGAAGTGGAAGTGATCGGGAGTTGAACGATGAAAGTAAGTGAATAAAGGGCGAGGAGTATTTTGGTTATTTTTGAAGGTTTGATTTTTGATTTTTTGACGGAAATTTGAGCAAATTGGGAGTTTTGGAGTTTTAGAAATTTTCAGTTTGAAATAGATTGCCTGAGGGAATTATTGAGTAAATATGGAAGTGAAAGGACCCTAGGTATTATTGAGATTGATTTTTACCGGGGAAAAAATGAAATTTTTTCGGGGATTTATTGATTTTGATATTTTTTCGAAATTCGACTTGAAAAATTAAACTAAATGTTGAGATTTCTATCTTCTGTCGTATTTTACAACATTTCCTTTTCAGTCTTCTCCCACAACCACCCCTCAAACGACCAAACCCAGCTCCCCGAACCACCTCCAGCCTCGGCGGACTCGGGAAATCCCGGCTCAATCCGAGATTCCCCTTCCCTGTTCTCGGATACCTTCAAATTGGATGTCCATAGTTAATGATCACACTGTATTTTTCTACTTTTACCCTCCACGAACACTCCGCATAACCTCAGTGAACAGAAATTAATATTATTTTAGTTTTACGTATTACTTTTTTTCGAAGTTTTTCTCAGCGAGATTATTAATTTATGGCGAAATTATTTTTACAAAAGTACTGTTTTTACTACGTCTTACTTTCTTAGCCTTTCATATCCTCAATAAGTAGCACAAATTGTAATTTTTTCGATATTGTTTTAGACGATTGTATGTATATTTTGAATGTCTTCTAACACGACAATAAACCGATAAATAAGTTGGATTTTGATTTTAATTGATGTAAGATAGCGTATATCTTGTAAAAAAATGGGAAACGGGGAATGCCAAATACTCCCAGGTTTTCGCGGTGGGACCAAAATCTTGTCATCGTGTCTTTGAAAAAGCTCATTAAAACTGTTTTTGAACATTTTTGATAGTTGAATTGTGGCCTATTTAACGTGTGAGCAATAAATTTTTCGATAGTTCGAGGATCGGCCTCGAGTTCTCGGCAATTTCCTCCCGATTTTTGAAAAAAAGTCAAACAAAAAATTAAAGATTATGATCCAAATTTATTACAACGTCTTCCAAAATATAGCCGGACTTTTTACAAAAAAAATTTAATTTTATTTTTGACCGTTTACATACAATAAAAGTTTTTATCAAAAAAATCATCTCCATTGCCATTTTCAATGCATAGATCCACTTAGACACTCGCTCAACCATCGATGTCATACATAGCTAAAAAAAATAAAAAAATAGACAAAGGTAGATATTATCTCGAAACAAAAAGTGGTATCTTATATGTATTACTTTCGGGGTTCCAGCTGCGTCCGGTTTCCTCCCATTTTCTGCAGATCTCATCCAGCACCTCTTCGGTAGGGTCCAAGGGCTCATCTGGGCCAAACGGGCCAGGAACATGGTCGACTCTGAAAAAAATCGTTTTATTTTACAAATGCAAACATTAGATTGCACTTTGAAAAATTTGAGGATAAACTTACACTTCTTGAGCCAACTTGAATCTCTTGGCATTGGGATCCTTCGCGTATTGGCAGAAATGCTTGATGCTGAAAGAAAATAAGTTAGTGTTTGCATAGATCAAGAAAAAAAATATAAAAAAGAGATGTAGCTTACATGTACTTGGCGTACTTGGTACTGTAATCGTGCTCGAAACCGACAGGCTTTGGATTGGGCACAGCGTCGATCAAAAAGGCTGGAATTTTAAAAATTTAAAAAGTAAAGATGGGTAAAGCCAAAATACAAGTCTTTTCAATTTTTTTGATTTGAATTTTGTATTTTGAATCATTTTTTTTTTAATAAAAGACCCCTCAAAGAACGAATTTGACTGAATGACTAAAGCTTGGGCGCAGCTTGGAAAAAATACACTTTTTGGAATCACAAAAAAAAAAAGATTCCAATAGCTCTAGTTTGACAATAAATCTTATCTGTGTCCACACAGTCTAGATATACAGCCTTGAAAATAACATAACCACCAGCCCAGTCCAACTTACCCATGGCCAGAAGAGAAACGAGGGCGAACAAGAACTTCATTGGAAACGAACCGTCCACAACAGGAAACACACAATGAATGTGGATTGTAGCTAAAATTTACTCGTTATATTACCTTTGTACTCTGAAAGAAATTTGAATAAACCTAGGAAGCTCGTTACATTGAGATCGATCCCAATGAAAATTTAATTGTAAAAAGTATATTTTTTAAAAGTGCACCCATTTTTTAAAGTATTCTTCAACGAATTTTTGGCTTATCGTAAAAGCTAGAAGGCTGAAATTTGGAGTAAATATTGCCGGGATTTTTATCGCATTTTGCTTTATTTTTACAGTCTACAATTTACAATAAATATGTCAACAAATAGATTTCTTCCATAGCCGCACATGTACAGTAGCAAGTACTATGTTTAGACGTTCTGGACTTGAACTGGGCATCAAGCATCGTACATTGCTTAAAAATTTAAATAAAATGTGTTAAAAAGAGTAGTACAAGACAAAAAATGGAATATTACGCTTACTGTTAGGGTTCCAGCTGCGCCCGGTTTCCTCCCATTTTTTGCAGATCTCTTTCAAGACTTCTTTATCCGGATCCAAGAGCTCATCCGGGCGAAATGGGCCAGGGGCATGGAAGTTTCTGAAAAAAATCATTTTATTAAAAGAAGTTATATTCAAAAATTACATTTCACTTCAAAAAAACGAAAAAAACTTTGAAAAATACTAAAAATCGATTACAAAAAAAAACAATAAACAATCGCCAAATTTGATGATAAAATTACCCTTCAGTCAATTTGAGTTTCTTCCCAGGGAGACGCTTGATGTACTGGCAGTAATGCTTGATACTAAAACAATTAAAATCTGCATGGACCATGAAAAAAATAAAAAATAAGATGTAGCTTACACGTATTTGGCGTACTTGGGAGTGTAATCATGCTCGAAACCGACAGGCTTTGGATTGGGAAAAGCGTCGGTCAAAAAGGCTGGAAATAAAATAAAAAATAGGCACACCCAAAACAAATATTACAACACTTTTTTTATTTTTTTTTTTTTATAAATATCTGTTTTTTTGAACTGATTTTTTTCAACGTTTTGAAAGAAAAAATATTAGACCGGTTGGTAACCCCAAAAGACTTAACAGGCCGCAGAATGAGAACAAATCCAATCCAACTTACCCATGGCAAGAAAAGAAACAAGGACAAACAAGAACTTCATTGGAAACGGACCGTACACAACAGGAAAACAACAAAAAAATGAATGGGGCTTACAGAAAAACATTACTCATTATGTGCTGCATTTGTATATTGAAAATTTTAAAAATAATTCTGGAAGCAAAGTCCATGAAGTCTATGAATCAGGATGTTTTTTTACTATTTTTTTATGAATTCAGCAATTTTAGGAGTTTCTTATTGAATAAACCGATAATTGCTAGTACTACACAACATTGTATTGCCTTTGCAAGGTTTTTTCTCGGCCCAAAATAACCGGAAACGCCTTCAACTCAGACTTTGGCACTCTGCCCGCCACTTGAAACGAAAGGAACGTCATTGAAAAAGTTGATGAAGTTTTTAATGCATCATTTTTTTCGAAAAGTTTGAGCTGTTTTTGACTTGATTCGAATTAAATTTAAAAACGTCGGACGGTGAAATCTTGTCCAAACTTTGCAATAAAATGCAAGCGATATTCAGCCAAGGTCGAAAAAAGGCGTTCCTCAGCAGAAAATGGGTAGCCAAGCACCAGGGCTGATAGCTAAACGGCTCAAATGGCTAGCCAAACATCTCGGCCGGTATCTATTTTACATTTTTTTCTTATATGAGAAGTAATGTAAAATAGTAATTTCTTGACTTCTTCCTAAAAATACTCGAGGTAGGGGTTTTGGATGGCGTTAAGTATGAATATCATGCTCATTTTTTTTGTTCTTTACTTTTTTGTTATGCAGTATTTTTAAGCAGTAATCTTATAATTTTTTTTTTCAAAAATAGTGGATTTAGTTGTTCCGCAATTTAAAGTTGGCATAACAGTTGCCGCCATTACTGGTTGAAAAGGATGAGAAAAATAAGTTATGGTATGCGTAAAGGACAGACAAGTCCATCTGCACCGTGAAAAACGCGTTCTTTATTGTCGCTAACAACGGCTTGTTTTTGGCCAAACCTGCACTGTGCAGATTCCGGAAAGTGCAAATTTAAGTTTTGTTTTTTCACAAAACTTTTTCACAATTGGCTGCGCGAACAATGTGACAAAAAATGAACGCGTTTGTTCTCCGCAGAGTCCTGTTAGTCCGCTTGCTTTTTTGCAAAAAATTTTCGAACAAACAAGCAAAACTATCCATCCGTTCTCACAACCGTAGTCAATGAAAGAACTTCTGCACAACGACACAACGTCTACTGATATCTATGGAAAACAGGGGGGGGCGGGAGGAGACCAAAAATTTCATATGCCGGTCTACCATTAGCCCTAAATGAACCTCCATTCAACGAAGCTGTTCCATGAATTTCTTGTTCATTTAAGATTTGTTATCAGTCTGTCGGGAAAATAACGGCGGTCGTCGCAGCAAAATGTTTCACTTTGTCGAAAAAAGGGAGCTGTCGCGCACGAGCTTAGACTGCCGTCGCAAAGCGATGATAGGCGATTCCAAGCGCAACCACCCGCTTATTTTTTCGACAGACTGATATACAGAGGTTAGACGGCAAAAAATTGCCTTTATATAGCGTCATCCCGTCTTTTTTCGCACATGCTTTTTAAGGTTTTTTGTTTGGCTCTCATTTTTTGTACTATCAGGGTGTCGGGAAAATTATGAGCGCAATGTCGCTGGGCCTATCGTTAAAGTGAAAAACAATTTGAATTTGTTATGACATAATTAATTTTCTTGACGGCGATGCGATTTTGGAGGCAACACTGTGCTCATTATTTTCCCGACAGACTGATTTAATGTCATTCTGTCCATTTGTCACATATACTTTTCAAAATTCCTTGTTTTTGTCAATTTTGTTTTGTACAAGATAGCCTGTTATATAGCTCCCTTAAAGTGTCTCTGTGAGCTCTTCTGCAAAACACCCCTCAAGCCTTAAGCTGCACCCTGAAAAAGCCGGATTGGAGCTCATCAGCAAACAGATTTGTTATTTTTTTGTGGCCCACCCTCACTCACTCAGGATATTCGTAATATGATGAATACGCTTTGTTGTGGCTCCTTTTTTTATAGAACTCCCTCATATCCATATCGGATACGATGATGCAAATAGTCGGTCCGTAAAAAGAAGCGGAAATGGACCTTGTATAATATGGAGTGATGAGATTTCGGGATGGGTATGGATATTGGTTTGAGCGTATTAGATCTGAGGGTAATCCAATTAAGTTGTCGAAAGGGGAATTGTCATTATTGTGAGGAGCACGTGGAGTGTGTCACTGGTCAGGGAATAATGACCATTTGGGTTAGTTTGATTTTTTGCGGAGATTACTGTAGAAGGAGATTGGTCAGAGTTTGATTTTCAAATCTTCACGTAACTTTAAGAAAATAAAGACCAATATTTTCCAAGAGATATGTAAGATTCCTGGCTTACGATTTCTATGGAAAACCGAAGTTTTTAGGTCCAAAGTTGATGAAAACGCAAAAAAATCTTCATTAATTTTACCATGGAAGATTTCAGCCCCATTTCAGCTGCAGAGATCTTCAAAAAAATTAATGTTTCCTTTTCAAAATTGACCTAGATCTGGCCGAAATTTTTTTAAATAGTTTTTGAAAGTCTTGGCCCTTCAATAGTACGAGTTAACGGGTATTTAAATATTAGACGGAGTTAATAGATGGGAGAGAAAATGCTAGGCTCAACCTGAATACTAGTCTGTTTGTAATGTCGCTGCAGTGATTTCTGCGACATGCACTGTGAGAAAACAATAGTGCACCCTGCAATAGACTTTCTTCGGATGTCGCTCGAACCCTTTTTGGCACAGTGTATGTCGCCGAAATCACTCCAGCGACATTGCGAACGGACTACTATTCAGGTAAAGCCCAGTATTTTCTCTACAATTTTTCATCAGAAACTGCTCGTTCAATGCCACACGCTTGAACAGAGGGTTTGATTTTCATAAAGTACGAAAAAGTGATGTTTGCCCCGTGTTTCCGCCAAACGTGTTTTTTAAAAATAGAAACTGGCACAGTAATACTTCCGCTAGCGGCCTTTTTAATGCTTGAAATAATACGACTCTTCGAAGCGTACGCTCTTGTAAGCGTTATGCAAGCAAAGTCCAGATGTTTAACTTTATATACACACGTTTAGCTTTATAATACAGATCTTCGGCTTTGGCCTTGTTTCATTTTTTTCTTGCAAACAAAACTTTTTGAGCAGAAAATGTTAATGTTTAATTACAAGGTAATCCTTCGGACTTTCTTAGTTCGGAAAACGCACATGGCCCACCCAAATGGAACTGGAAATTTGCAGAAAGTAATGTAAAAATAGTTGTAGTGGAATAAGAGTGCATTTCTTACGATGAGGAAGGGAATTTCTCACAGGGGAAGTACCCCAAGTGCGACGCTCAGATTTTGATGAAACTGAACGCAAATTTAGAATAATTATTTCTAAAATATATACGAGAATCCTAGCTCGCGCTTTGCAAAAACCATCGACATTTTTAGATCGAAAGTCAACGAAAATTTGAGACTTTTTATGGACATTCGGCACGAAAAGTTGCATCCCTATTTCTACCGTAAAGCTTAATATTTCCACAACAAATAATTTTTTTTCCGCACGAAACTAGCAAAGTTATGGCCAAAAAGGGGTTTTCTCTCTGACCGCTCTCCGCGTTTAGCGTACTCTCTCGGCCGCAACGATCGTTCAATATCTCGGCTTCGCCTTCAAAGCGCGAGCTAAAACTTTGAGGAATTTATATTTAGTCTATGCCCGAAGTGTGTGCAAAATTTAAAGAAAATCTGAGCGTCGAACTTGGGGTGCTTCCCCTGTCAGCTGATTTTTTGAGTAAAGCCTGGATCAGCAACTCATCAGTCTGTCGGAAAAATAATCTGGCTCTTATAATTTTGATACAATGATATATAAACCCTTTACATCAAAATTTATGTAAATACCTGCCTTTACATTTTCCATATTACATATGTATACATAGGTATGTTCTCCGTTCAAAGATATACGTACAAGGTTAATTTTTTCACGTCCAAAATTAGCAGGCAAAAAAATTAAAAATAGCATTGTCCAACTCCACCTACACACCTGTTGGAGCCCTATTCTCGCCTAAACCACACCATCTACGGTCTAATCCACGTCAAGCCCTCGGGCAAAACGTGTAATTTGGAATGAGAAAAGGTTGAACTTACCTTTTATAGCTTGCTATTAATATCCTGGGAACAATAACTCAAATCTTTTTTTGGTTTAGTGCTAATTGAATTACTGTAGTCGCAGAAATAAATCCAGCACTTTTTTATATTAATCTTGCCATTAAAATTAAGATAGTATTTCGGGGGTTATTCAATAACAATGAAACTATTTTTAATATTACCAGAAACCTTTTGTAATCGCACCTGTAGCAAGTATCTAAATTTTCTCGCTATTTAGGACTGTTTATAAAGTCCTAAGACACCACAAACCTCATCGTTCCTGAATGCCATCTATGACTTTTGATTACATTTTTTTGTATCGACTCAATTGTATGTAGTGTACTTATGATGTCATCATAGACACAACAAAAGCAAGATTAACGTCGTCAGACCTTGTGTGGCACAATTTGGTTTAAGTTTAAGTTTATTTCGTTTGATGTTCTCTTTGTAAGACTCCTAGATCGCGTTCTGTAGAAACAACCGAGATTTTTGGATTGAAAAAAAAATGTTACACTTTTTGCTAATTTTATCATGAAAAGTTTCATGCTTATTTCTGACACAGAGGGTAATGATGCCACAAAAAAAGAAGTTTTTTCCGCAAGGAACTGGCAAAGATATGACCAAAAAGTGTTTCTTCTGTGACCGCTCTCCATGGTTCGTGTACTCTCTCAAAATATTGTTGAATATCTCGGCTGCGCCTGCAAAGCGCGAGCTAAAACTTTTAGGAAATTATATTTGGTCTAATCCTGATGTATGTGCAAAGCTAAAGAAAATCTGAAGCTTGCACTTGGAAGCCTTCCCTTGTTAAGTAAACTCTAACCAAATTTGCAATAAACCAACCAAATAGGTGTTGTTTTGA